CAAATTCCAGTTATCCCCCCCCAAATCAAAAAAAAAAAAACGGAGGAAAGAAATTAGTTAATGCCCAGTCTGGCTGGAAATATGGCTTAGTGGTAGAGTGCTTTCCCAGCATACATGAAACCCTGGGTTCCATTCCTTAGTACCACATAAACAGAAAAAGCCCAGACTGGCACTGTGGCTCAAGTAGTAGAGTGCTAGCATTGAGCAAAAAGAAGCTCAGGGATGGTTCCCAGGCCCTGAGGTCAAGCTCCTGGACTACTAAAAACAAACAAACAAAAAAACCACCAATGGGGCTGGGAAGGTGGCTCAGTGGTAGAGCACTTGCCTTGCATGCATGAGGCCCTGGGTTCAATCCCCCAGCACCACATAAGCAAAAAGAAAAAAGCTGGAAGTGGTGCTGTGGCTCAAGTGGTAGAGCGCTAGCCTTGAGCTGAAGAGCTGAGGGACAGCACCCAGGCCCAGAGTTCAGGCCCCACAACCAGACCCCCACCCAAAAAAGAGACCCATCAAAACCCACAAAACACTAAAGCAAAAATGCCCAGTCCTCTGTAAGAGCCACATTTTTTTTAATGTATTTTTTTGTCAGTCATGGGGCTTAGACTCTGGGCCTAGATACTGTCCCTCAGTTCTTCAGCTCAAGGCTAGCGCTCTACCACTTGAGCCACAGCACCACTTCCAGCTTTTTCGGCTTATTTGGTGCTAAGGAATTGAACCCAAGGTCTCATGCATGCGAGACAAGCATGCTACCACTGAGCCACCTTCCCAGCCTAGGAGCCACATTTCTGAACTTGATTTACAAGGAAATGCTCGCTGCTTTCCTGGCCTTTGCAGCCCTGCTGAAGAGTCTGCCCTGCTCTGCCCCTCCCCAGCTGGCTCTACTTCTTCAGCCTTCTGAGTCACCACAGAGACACAAAGGGAAAAGGAAGGGAAAAGGAAGGGAAGGGAATGGAAGGGGAGGGGAGGGAAGGGAAGGGAAGGGGAGGGGAGGGGAGGGGAGGAGATGGAAGGGGAGGGGAGGGACGGGAAGGGAAGGTGAGAAGGAAGGGAAAGAGGAAGAAAGGGAGGGAGGAAAGGAAGGAGGAGAGGAAGAAAGGAGGGAAGGGAGGGAAGGAAAGGAAGGCATTTGCATGATGGGTGCTGGGTAACTGTTCATGGGTGATTATGTATGACAGAGTTAATAGCTACTTCCTAGGGGTCCCCCAACAGTCCTCTCAGAGTTTCATTGTGGGCTCCCCTGTCCCCTGCAAGTCTGGGAAGTGGACGGGGCTCTTTTGGGCTGTTCCAACCCACACAGACTCTCTCTTGGGAGCCTCACATTACAGTGCTACTTTCTGCCTTACTTCTAGCAACTCCCCTTGCAGACAGGACCCGTCCTTTCTGGGGCTGCCTGTACTGCTCACCCACTGGACTCTAGGGCTTTGGAGAGCCCCTCAGCCTTCCAGGTGGCTTGTAGCACATTTAGGGTAGCTGCTCACTGGTTGTGGTGCTGCATACCTGGAGTTCTATCACTCAAAGGTGGAGCAGCAAGGGCTAATATTCTTTTGTATATGTTGAAAGATTTTTTTCATAATTAAACTTTACTATTAAAAAAAACAGCAACAAGGCCAGGCGCCGGTGGCTCACGCCTGTAATCCTAGCTAGTCAGGAGGCTGAGATCTGATGATCATGGTTCAAAGCCAGCCTGGGCAGGAAAGACCCTGAGACTCTTATCTCCAATAAACCACTCAGAAAACTGGAAGTGGTACAGTGGCTTAAGTGGCAGAGTGCTAGCCTTGAGCTGAAGAGCTGAGGGACAGCGCCCAGGCCCAGAGTTCAAGCCCCATGACCGAAAAAAAAAAAAAAAAAAAACAGCAACAAGGGAATTGAATATAGTGGCTCATGCTTATAATTCTATCTGCTTTGGAGGCAGAGATCTGAAGGTTCTGGGTTCCAGGATAACTTAGGCAAAAAGTTAATGAAACCCTATCTCAGCAAACAAGATGGATATGGCGGTTCACATCTGAGACCGCAGCTACTTGATGGGAAAAGGTGAGAGGATCCTGGTCTGAGGCTGTCCCCAAGCAAAAAGGAGTGACCCTACCTGAAAAATAATAGAGGGGCTGGGAAGGTGGCTCAGTGGTAGAGTGTCTGCCTTGTATGCATTGAGGCCCTGGGTTCAATTCCTGAGCACCACATAAGCAGAAACAGTCAGAAGTAGTGCTATGGATCAAGTAGTAGGGTGCTAGCCTTGAGCTGAAGAGCTGAGGGACAGCGCCCGGGCCCAGAGTTCAAGCTCCACTACCGACAAAAAAAAAAAGAAAAGAAAAAAGAAAAGGACAGAGGGCAAGGCTCCAGTTGTAAAATGCAGGATGTGAGTTCAAATCACAATTCTGTCAAAAATCACAGCCACCCTCTCCCCCCCAAAAAAGAGCTGGGGATATAGCTCAGTGGTAGAGCACATTGCTTAGCATGTACAAATCTCTTGGTTTGATACCAGCACTGAAAAAAGATGTAGCTCCCTAGACACCTGGGGACTCATCAGAATAGCAGCTCTTTCCAAATGTCATTGGAGTTGAGGCATAGATAGGGTGGTAGAGCACCAGTCAATGAGCAAAAGCATCAGATACTGAATTCAAGTCCCAGTCAGACACACACAAAAATCAATGTCATCACCAACTTCCTTTTTCAAAATCCATCATTGATCCCTTCATACTCTTGATCTGGATGAGGGCTTAAAAAGTGACAGGCGTGTGCTGGTGGCTCACACCTGTAATTCTAGCTACTTAGGAGTCTGAGATCTGAGGATTGAGGTTCAAAGCCAGCCCAGCAGCAAAGTCTGTGAGATTCTTATCATCAATGAAAGGAAGTGGAGCTGTGGCTCAAAGTGGTAAAGCTAAGAGACAGTACCCAGACCCTGAGTTCCAGCCACTTGATCATCAACAGCAACAACAAAGTGATAAAACAATCCTAGCAGCTGGGCACTGGTGGCTCACGCCTGTAATCCTAACTACTCAGGATGCTAAGATCTGAGGACCATGGTTCAAAGCCAGCTCGGGCAGGAAAGTCTGGGAGACTCTTATCTCCAATAAAAACCACTAGAAAACTGGAAGTGGCGCATGGCTCAAGTGGTAGAGTGCTTGCCTTGAGCTGAAGAGTTGAGGAACAGCGCCCAAGCCCCGAGTTTAAACCCCATGACCGACCAAAACAAACAAACAAAAAACCCAAAAAACAAAAAACAATCCTAGCTTAGTGGTTCATACTTTTTTTTTTTTTGGGTCCGGTGGTGGGGTCTGAACTCTGGGCCTGGGCGCTGTCCCTCAGCTCTTCAGCTCAAGGCTAGCGCTCTACCACTTGAGCCACAGCGCCACTTCCGGTTTTTTTCTTTTTGCTTATGTGGTGCTGAGCAATCGAACCCAGGGCCTCATGCATGCAAGGCAAGCGCTCTACTACTGAGCCACCTTCCCAACCCCAGTGGTTCATACTTGTAATCCCTCACTCAGGAGGTTGAGGCAGAACTATGAGTTCAAGGATTGCCTTAACTTGAGTGCCTAACTCAAAAAAGGGGGGCAAAATGCTATCTATGATAGTTAATTTTAGTGTCCATTTCACTGGATTGAGGAATTGGTAAACTGAGGCTAGTTCCAGATTAGTGTGAATGGGGAAGATTTGCCCTCAGTGTAGGCAGTATCATCCTCTTAGCTGGAGGCAGAAGGCATAGATGCCAAAGGAGAATCAGATAGACTTTTCTACTGCCTTAGGCACCCAAGTCTAGGCTCTCTGGCCTTTGAACTAAAACACTAGACACAGGATCTTGGCCTCACACTAGAGTTACCCCACTTGCTCCCCTGATTCTGAAGCCTTCAAAAGATGGCCTAAGCCACCCTAGTGGTGGCTCTTCCTGGGACTATTTTTTGTCGGTTGTAGGGCTTGAACTCTGGGCTTGGGCACTGTCCTTCAGCTCTTCAGGTCAAGGCTAGTGCCTACCACTTGAGCCACAGTGTCACTTCCGGTTTTCTGGTGGTTTATTGGAGATAAGAGTCTCATGGACTTTCCTGCCCTGGCTAGCTTTTTTTTAAAAAAATAATTGTTAGGGCTGGGAAGGTGGCTCAGTGGTAGAGTGCTTGCCTTGCATGCCTGAGGCCCTGGGTTCGATTCCTCAGCACCACATAAGCAAAATGAAAAAAGCTGGAAGTGGCACTGTGGCTCAAGTGGTAGAGCGCTAGCCTTGAGCTGAAGAGCTAAGGGACAGCGCCCAGGCCCAGAGTTCAGGCCCCACAACAGGACCCAAAAAAAAAAAAAAGAGAAAAAATAATTGTTAATATATTTTTATTTTATTTTTTTTAAATTTTATTGTGAAAATACTGTACAGAGGGGTTACAATTACATGGGCAAGATAATGAGTACATTTCTTATCAAGCATTGTAGCTTCCTCCTTTGTTTTTCCTTCCCATCCTCCCCCTGTCCTCCCACCCAATCCTCCTCGCTCCCCCTACCTCCCCCTGCACCAAAGTTGGAAAAAAAATGGTTAGAGGCCACGAAGTCGGTGGCAATGCCTTAACCATATGTGTGTTGTCAGGCCCAAGGGCCTCTTCCATCCTTGTCAAGGGGAATGCTAACCTTCTCTCCTTTCATACAACACCCTGGCTAGCTTTGAACTGCCATCCTCCTAGGAGCTAGGATTACAGGCATGAGACCCTGGGGCCCAGCTCTGAGGACCCTTTGAGATGGCAAGCCCTCAGGTTACTTTTACAAGTGATGGGCAGACATGGGCCTGTTGAGGGCAGAAGACTTACCCTAGGTCCCACAAGGCTCTGTGTCCCACAAGGCTCTGTGTCTGGTTCTCAAATCCTGGTGAATTCTTCCCCTGGAAGGAAGTCAGCCTCACCTCCCCTGGCTGAGCCCTACAGGGCATACTTTTTGCCAGAGTCCTTCAGACTAGACAAGGACTAGTTGCCATGGAGATGACCAGGCAGGTAGTTCCAGGACAGCAGGTGGGGGCGGGGCAAAAGGAGGACATCGCTATGCAAAACCCCCATCAACAGTTGGTCAGGGCCACTTCCAGGAGACCCAAGCAGGATCTGCTGTCACAGGCTCCAGGGAAAACAAAAGGGCTGATCAAGTTTCTGTCCAGCCTCTCCCAGAGAGGACAGGTGAGAGGGAAAGGGGCAGCGTGTGGATGTGTGTAGGAGGGTGACTTCTAACTGCCCAGTGGCAGGTGGGCATCTGAAGGCAGGAGAAGCCAGGGCTGAGTGAGGCTCGGAGAAGAAGCTATGAGACTGGAACTCAGGTTTAGGTGACAGGGACGCTGGAGGAGGAAACTTAAAGGGTATGGGATGAAGATGATGAATTAAAAAGTAATTTGGGGCCGGGCGCTGGGGGCTCACGCCTGTAATCCCAGCTACTCAGGAGGCTGAGATCTGAGGGTCGCGGTTCAAAGCCAGCCCGGGCAGGAGAGACCGTGAGACTCCTATCTCCAATAAACCACCAGAAAACCGGAAGTGGCGCTGTAGCTCAAGTGGTAG